TGAGGGACCACTTGGCAGACTGATCACGAATAATATATGCACTATGCATGTTATCGTGTTCTGTGAATTTACGGTGGGTAGACGGTAGGGGGACAAGATTAGAGAAAAAAATAAAAAGTGGTCCAAAAAATTTTGATATTCATCACGAATAACACAATTTTTTCGCAGGACATCTTATGGTAGATATAAGGTAAATATATGATACATGGTTAGAATCACTGTGCTCACTTAAAAGTGGTATTTGTTATGCTAATCATGTTATGATAATTGTTTTGCATTACCAGTCCTACTGCAGATTTACAGAGAATCAAGTCAAGAAACCGTTCCTAATTAAGCCTCAAACTTCGAGTTAAAAGATTAATGCTTAACCTCGTTAAGAAAACAACACAGCTCATGTCGGTCTAAAACGATACGCCCTGATTTATGTTCATGAGTCAGGTCACTCTATTAAATCACTTTTCAGGCTACTCTAAAGCCCCAAGTGTCTACGTATCGTCTCTTTGCGACCAACGCGCATTATGGATACATCGCGATCATTGGATAAAATATCCCAGCACACCACTTTCGGCCAAATCAATTATATTGACCTTCCATCTATCTGCTGTAACTATGAACAGCCTTACTGCGCGATATATGGATGTGATGTTCGTCACAGCGTATTGAAAATTCCCTCGCCAGATAAAGTTTCAGCAAGATCCAAGATTTTAAATTTGAGGCCCAAACAGCGAAAAAGTGCCCTGCCGATCTCCAAACTCGAAATGCTATGAAACACAAATAATAAACTAGTTTTTGAAGGTTCTTTTTTGGATTGTATTAGATTATCTCAATATCCTTGCTGATAGTCTCAATTTTCCCTGTTTTCGCTATCTACAGCGAGTTCGAGCTATAGATCGAAGGTGATACAACTTCAACATCTAGAAGTTTTACATACCGAAATTTATGACCGAGCGCTGATGTTTCAGAAGAGATAGGCTAAACAGAGCAATTAGCACGCTTTACGTGCTATTACCCTATATGAGAACATTGGGATTAGCGAAAAACATGCGGCTGATTAGAGATGAATTGGTGCACAAAACGAGAAACCCGCTCGGAAAATCAAAGTTGTTTATATATTTTTTAATCACGCAAACAAGGCTTCCACAGAGTTGATTAAACCCTTTTTTGAGATCAGATGATGCCGAGAAGTTCCCAAAAAGCACAAGCAAGAGCTCCTGCATTCACGATTAGAAGGCGAGGTGAATTTGCCTTCATTGTAGGAAACCATATTTACAAGCGGTTTAGTATGCAGCAAAGAAATTACATTGAAAAAACTATGCTTTTCTTATTCTTAACTTTAAGGCTGATGTAAGGGTCTTAAGGTTTCCAAATGGAAAAAGTTTAGATTCTATATACCACCCCTTACGTGATATAGTTTCCGCTCCGCTCCACTACATCCTGTTAGCTACAAAGGTAACAAATGTGGCGTCAAAAACAAAATCAATAATGGAAATAGTAACGAAGTATGGGAGTAAGTAACCTCTAAGTGTTGTTTAGTCAAGTCACTCAGATTTGATCGCACGTGAGTGTGTACTAAGAAAATTATTAATATCAAAAGTTTTACTAACCTCATCTTCATACTGTAGAAAAATTCTGAAATTTGTATCTTGTCGAAAGACAGGGTGTGCGGCAATTCTTTGCAGAAATACTTCGTGCATAGCTACGGTCTTTTTGAACTGAGCAAGGTAATCCCTAAAAACATGCTTGCAGAGATATTAGATGCCATGAAAACGAGCGACATACTGCTCAAGTTCCTGTTTCATCTTCAGAAATTCTTCCTTTGTCATCGTTGCTTCACCCTCGCCAAGCTTTTGGAGCTTTTCGCGAGATGATTCAAAATCTGGATGAGGGGGAGCCGGAGGTACCTACAGCAATCTTGAATTAAGTTTTCTCTAGTGGATGATTCAGAATTTCTTATAAATGGGAACAAAACATATAGTGAAGAAACAGCTTCGTTAAAACCTACGATGAACCCTGCATAGCTCTCGTTCTCATCTAGAACGCTATGAAGCCAAAGAAACTCTTCATGTTCACGGACTACCGAGGTTTCTGGGCGCATACCCGGAAGGCGAGTCTTTGTGTGCACAGTGTATTTAACCT